ACCCCATGAGACCCTGTTTTTCGGCGATAATTTCTTCAGTTTTTGTCTAATTGGCTTGAAATTTTGACATTAGACATTTCAGCTCAAGCGCCAATTTTCATCAATATGGTCTCTTAACAAAATATCAATATTTAGAGCACTTGTCATAGGCTCGTAGTGCTAATAAGATTTTGCACCCGGATAGAGGCTCGTTCGCTACCGCAGCGGATTGGATGGGAGCGCTGGCCAATCACGTTGCGCCGGGCCCAACTAAACTCCGCCCACTGGCCGTGACCGCGCTGGGTCTATGCCGGCTCAGTCGGCGGCAGCACCGCGGGGAGGTCGCACGGGGTCGCGCGCTGGAAACATACATGGAATCGATAGGAAGTGTCTGAGCGAAAGCTTGCTCTTCATTTGGGGGAGTTGGTAACCGCTTCTCTCTTTTTGGTATATCAACACCGATCCAGCTCAGAATATGAAGAATAATCATAATGAGGATATCAACATTCAACCTCCCCAGAACCAACCTTAGAGAGCTGAGTCATGCACTATCTGAATTTCTGAATGAATGCGCATTCTGGCGCTTATCTCATGGCCAGGTCGTGCCACTGTTCTGTCACCTATGACATCATGCGAAGCCTCTGCACTACTCGAAAAGATCGATATGGTTGTCTGTGCCAATCGCTGTTTCTGAAGACGCTGTTATACCTACCTATGCAGAAAACAACAGAGTTGGATGATGACTCGCGACTCGCGACGAGCACTTCCGATTGCCTATCCATGAGCTGTGTTCGTAATTCGGGAAGCGTTGAGAATGGAGCAGAAATGTGATGTGCGATTTATTGCGCATGGTAGAATGTGGCATCGGAATAAGGGAAACAAGCGCATAGGCTAAAGTAAAGGAATCGCGTCTTTTTGTGAAACTAAAGTAACTTTTCAAGCCTTCCAATAATGAGGCAGTAGGCTACTTACTTACAGGTATTTTAATTATTTGCAGTTCAACACGAAAGCCTGGGTCAAGTCAGTCCGGTGACCTCAAGCTAGCCAATTATAAAATGGGTTAGTTCTGAAAGTGTTCATGTTGCACCGCAATCACATGAATCCATCTCAAGCATACGCATAAGCATAATATATTTCATATTTTAACCACACTTCTGAAATGCTACGGTGTAACTGTTTATCATGTCTTGCAAATTTGACTTAGGCTGACTAACGTCTTGCATCAGTTCACAGTCAATTGACATCAACGGTTTTTTTAATGACGTTCAATCAAGCAAAAATGCAGTCACTAGCCCTGAACTTACTGACTTGTAACTTACGTATATCTTTATTGATTGACATGATGAAGGCTAATTTGCGATAAATGCAATAACGGAGGCTAGTGCGCAAATTACGAGCGCTAGTTTCTGCTGTATCGTTATTACTGCAACGGCAACCGCAAGGCAGCCACGTCCAATGCGAGCCGCCCCGGTCCGGCAGCTACTGCCCCGTCGGCTCCACGCATCCGACTGACCGGCCAAGGTCACCGCTCCGTCCGCCGGGAGGGCGGAGCTTAATGGTCACGTGCCTGTGACGTCACGCCTACGTACGGATAGCCTCTACTCCACTGAAGGATTTACGGAGCTGATTTTAACATTACGAGGCAACGACAAGTACCCGAACAATTGATATTTTGTTAAGAGACCATATTAGCGAAAATTGGCGCTTGAGCTGAAATGTGCTTTGTGAAAATTTGAAGCCAATTGAATAAATATTAAATAAATTATCGCCGAAAAACAGGGTCTCACGGGGTCTGAAATGCATAGTAGTTGTATACTTTATTTTTTGTGGCCTTGTTGGTCACTACATGCAATGCTGACACCATCCGGGCGCTCATAACACGCTGATGTGTGTTCCTTTGCCGGATGTTTGAAGGTTGGGACGGGCGGGACGTCGGACGCATCAGCAGCCCCCAACGCGTTGTTCTGCAGGTTTGACGGATGAAATAGCTTCGAAGATGTCTCACCCAACCACAAAGCCAGCTGCCTGTCCTCTGTTCAGGTTTGAAAACTTAAATTGACAATCCTGCTGTTAATTCATGAATTTTGGCCATCTCGATTGTTTGTACGGCTTGATTTTCGAATTTTCACGGATTTATGTATGAATCGTGATATCTTAGATGGGGTACCCGGCCAAAGTAAACCATTTCGCCTGTTTTCGGGTCGACTGTTGTCGTTTGGTCGCGGAAATGGTGACCACCCATTCGGCGCCTGAATTCGCCGAGGTTTTACTGCCGCCAACGGCTTTGCTTTTTAAGTCCTCTTAAGTTTTATTATGCTTCAACCAAACGTGTAATTGAGTAATGCTGGTGCCGAGACCGTTCCGAGTCCCTTCCGCACCAATCCAGCCAAAATAATCACAAACGCTTTCCCTGGCAACTTCAAATTGATCTCTTTGCCCATTTTGGTCTTGAGCAGCGTATGGCGTCAGCACCACTCGAAGCCGAGAGGTGTTGTAGACCTTCCAAGTCATTTTTCAAAGTAAGGTCACTTTTGTTAGATGAGGCGACAACAAACACGACCAGTCATGTTCCATAACAGCCGGCGCTCATGCAAAATCTCCACTGACAGGCGAAATTGTAAGAAAATACATGTTCGCGTAATTACTTTCCACCCTGTAGGGTCTTACCAATCTCAACGGTTGGCTTTGACTGGCGATTGTTTAATGCGGAGTGATCGAAAAGAAGATGTCAATAGCTAAAGTTGCAGCTGCAAGGGTGACGATACATATAAGCTACATTCAAAGTTTCATTGTAGTCTGGCTAATCGTTCCTAAGCTTCAGAAGCAGAACATACCCATGACTTAAACCCCACATTACTTCTGCTGTGGACTGTACCTACCACACATTAGTGGTCAACTTATCACAAGGCTACCAGAGAAATTGTTGGATCATTTTGGTCGTTTTAGTTCCTTGTCCTGCATCATGACCCTGTGTTCAACGTCTGTATGCGAGCCCAGTCACTTCTGAATGCTACTCGCGTACGGCATTACTTGCGTTCCCGCCTCCTCGTCATGTGTAATGTGATGTGACGCCTCTCTCACCGACCTTTTATAGTCTCTCAGTCTGTGCCTGTCCATGCGTAACCTGACCCTCCCCCGGCAGCGGAGCCGCCGCCGGAGCCATCCCTATGCGTCGGGATCCATCCCTATGGATCCTCCCGTCTTCTCACCCTGTGTGTGATCTGACCTTCCCCCGTTTCCCCGGCAGCGGAGCCGCCGCCGGAACCGGACGTGGCCGAGGACGAGCGCGTCTCGGCGGCCATCCTGGCGCGCGTGCTGGAGGAGCGTGAGCGAGAGCGGTCGGCCGGCTGCTCGTGCGGCGCCGGCGGGCTCGGGCCGCGGCTGGTGGACGTCTCGTGTCAGACGCAGCCGACCCACATCGGCGACCGGGACGCGGTGTGCCAGCCGTTCGTGTTCGAGCCGGGCGGCCGGCGCGGCGGCGGCGCCGATCCCGAGCCGGCCGCCCTGCGCCAGACGGTGGTCATCGGCCGACCGCGGCCGGCGCGGCCCACCAGCGGCGAGCCGGCGCCGTGGTGGCCCGCCGCCGAGCCCGCCGCCGACCCGGCCGTCTGGGACAACAACTTCGACTTCAGTCCGCCGCGCAGCCGCGCCGAGTCGCACCGCACCGAGTCGGTCAGCTCGTCCGAGTCGATGTCGGCGGCGTCGGCCGGCGCCCTGTCGGCGGCCGCCCTGCGCATGGAGACCCGGATCTAGCCCCGGGGACGGACCGGCCGGTGCTCCCACAACGAACCCGCTCCGGGACTGGGACTGGGTACCGCGCCGTGTGAACTCTGGTGTGAGAGCTGGCCAGACCCCAGCGGCGCCGCTCCTACCCGTGCCGTCACTGGTGAGTAGTGATGAAGTCAGTGACTTGCCAGCAGGGCCGGCCCGGTATCACGTCAGTACCTGAGACTGTCGCCGGCTGCGCTCCGTTTCAGGAGTGGTCCGCTCAGTGTCGGCGTCTGGCCGGGCCGGGAGGCCTCAGCGCCGACCGCGCCCCTCACCCAGAGTGTGGTTTGACGCTTAGGGTCACAGCTCGTTTGATGCCCAGGGTCACAGCCCGCCATCAGCCGCCTGCTTCCTCTGACGGTGTCGTGGCCTGACGTGCACCGTTTGAGCACGGCTGGGGGCAGTTACTGACTGAGAGGCGGAGTTTCTGGCAGTCCTAGGAGGGGTCCTGGTGCGGCTGCAGGCGGGGAATAGAACCCATGGGTGCTGCGGCGTGGTGCGCTGCCTGGCGAGAATATGCTCTTTGGTGAGCTGACATTCCTAAGGATCACTGCGAAATGTATTTCGGTCTGGAATGGTTCCTGTGCTGCCTACCGAGCATAATTGCCTGAACGTCCTCATGACTGACATCACTGGTGTTTTGCCTGTACGAACTGCAAGATGCTGTTTTCTTGTCGGTGCTAGTTGAGACATTAGATCTCTCTCGCAGTTTGTGTCACAAAATGTGAACTTGGTGCGCCAGCTTTCACATGAGCTTGTAAGCGGTGTGTCCGCTGCTTTAGTTTTCAGCCGAGTATGTAACTTAGTTCGCTATTTGACGTGGGCCCGAGTTAAGGCCCAGTCATGGAGCGGGCGACCTCAACTCTCGCCCCGACCCCGTGTCGAGATCTGTGACTGTCGCCTCTCCGAGTCGCCGGACGAGCGGCCCGGTGACGGAACTGAGCCAATCCGTACCCCTAGATCTAGACCGACTGTACGACCCTCCCTTCCTCCCTTTAGAGGCAGCTAAGCCAGAGTCAGCGACTGGGACAGGTTCCGCGCCGACGGAGTACTCGTTGGTGGTTTTCTCCCGGGTGGCTGCAATTGCTGAGTTTGTGCGCTGTGACGCCGCACGGCTCGGGCGGCTCAGTTGTAGTTGTGCCTATTTATTGCGCCCGGTCGTCCGCGCTCGGGTGTTCCAGGGAGCCGTTTATTTTGTTGAATTGCTCTGGCGCCGCGTGGGGCCCGTCTGAGCGGATATGTCGTGCCAACGCGCCGGTATAGAGTGTGTATTGTGTCTTAACGGCGCTGACCACCACATCCTATCATGGACACACGATCACGGATATGTTGCAATACATATGAACTGCACATTAGCGGCCGGCTGAATGGACGGATCTGGTAGCACCGCGTCACTGGGCGGCCGGCAGAATGGACGGATCTGGTAGCACCGCGTCACTGGGCGGCCGGCTGAATGGACGGATCTGGTAGCACCGCGTCACTGGGCGGCCGGCAGAATGGACGGATCTGGTAGCACCGCGTCACTGGGCGGCCGGCTGAATGGACGGATCTGGTAGCACCGCGTCACTGGGCGGCCGGCTGAATGGACGGATCTGGTAGCACCGCGTCACGGGCGGCCGGCAGAATGGACGGATCTGGTAGCACCGCGTCACGGGCGGCCGGCAGAATGGACGGATCTGGTAGCACCGCGTCATGGGGGGGGGGGCTGAGGCGTGAAGAAAACCACCGTCTCCCGACACACGCCGGTTCACAAACACTGAATCACAGGAGCTACGAAGCGACACGGAGACTGTAGATTTGTATTGGACGCTCGCGCAGGGCGGCGCTGTGTCTGTATAAGATCCGTTCACCGTCCGTAATGGCGGCACACACGGGGTCCTGTGTTCGCTGAGCCACTGGGCAGTGACGACTAGACCTGCTCAGCGCGACCTAAGACCCCGCTCAGTGCCAGAATGATAACACCGTATTGATCTTTGGCAGGAGACGCCGGCACCTCTCAGTTGTGAGCGCTCAGTTGGGTTATTATCGATGGGACGAGGCCATGACTTCTAGTTCCCTGGTTGATGCCAACTCGAGCATAAACTCTCGGTTGCCATGGCAACCGTGTGATGCGGCACTGAAATGCTATGGTTGCCTCGGGAGCTCCCCCGAGCTGCTGAGACAGCCCGGGGAACTGACCGAGCGCTCCTGTGGACTGGGGAGACCCGGCTCCTAAACAGTGACCTCAACCAAACCCCGACTAGTCCGCGGCCCATAACACCTGTCTGAATACTGAGCCGGCGAGCGGCGGCGGGTGGCACAGCAAACGTCGGCCCCGGTCGGCCGGGTCCGTGTCGATATATCACAGTTAACGCACGCAGCGCGTTCACAGGCGGACGGAGTGCGCGGACGGACGGACGGGAGGACGGACCGGCGCGGCCTACACACGACGGGAGGCGCGGCCGCGCGCACCTCCACCCCACCCTTACGAAAATAGAATAGACCGATGAAACGCAACAAACGCGAACAAACGGGGTACGTCACGCAGGGCTTAGCTGCGGCTGGACCGGTGGATGTCCCGACCTCTGGCAGGGGCAGATGGCGCCACCTGCGAGTAGGCCCTCCAGCCGCTCCAGCCGACCGCAGCTCAGGGAGGGCTTAGTTCCTCCGCCGTCCGTAGGGAGGCGCTGCCACCTCCTTAGTTCCCCATTGGCCGGCAGAGCGGTACCGTAGCTCTAGTTCCTCCGTCGGCCGCCGGGCGGCGCCCGTCAGCCGCAGTTGCCCATCCGGCCGGTAGGTGGCGGTCGGGAGGCTCAGATGGACGGGAAATGCTGGAACGAGCCGCGGGAGAGCAGGCTGCGCGTCTCGGGACTGCTGTGCGAGCCCGAGTGGCCGCCCGTGATGTTGGGCAGCAGCATCGAGCCCGAAGTCGAGCTGGCGTTCTGCCGGCACAATCAGACGGACCGACACGGCGTCACCGTCGGAGCTCATGCAACGTCACAATCGCGACCACGCACCACACGGCACATCCGCGGGCTCACATACTCATTACTCAAGTCATACTCACGATTACGGACCGTCAGGGTCACGGCACCATCGCAGACCTCATACTCACGGTTACAGCCGTCCTCACACTTACGGTTATAGACGTCCTCACACTCACGGTTACATACTTCACACTCACGGTTATAGACGCGTTCACATTCACGGTTACAGACGTCACACTCATGGTTACAGACGTCATACTCACGGTTACAGACGTTCTCACACTCACGGTTACAAACGTCATGCTCGAGGTTAGACGTCACACTCACGGTTATAGACGTCACACTCACGGTTATACATAGACGTTACACTTACGGTTACAGACGTTACACTCACGGTTATAGACGCCCTCACACTCAAGGTTCCATACGTCCTCACACTCACGGTTACAGACGTCATGCTCGAGGTTAGACGTCACACGGTTATAGACGCCACACTCATGGTTATAGACGTCACACTCACGGTTTATAGACGCCCTCACACTCACAGTTACATGCGTCCTCACACTCAGTTACAGAGGTCATACTAACGGCTACAGACGTCCCACTCACGGTTATATGAATACGTCCTCACACTCGCGGTTAGACGTCACACTAACGGGTACAGCCGTCACACTCATGGTTATTCACGTCCTCACACTCAAGGACACAGACGTGACACGACTCAGGAACGGCACAAAAGGCCAGGCCAATGCGCCATCGGGCCACCGGCACACAAGGGTAGCCAAAGTGAGCGAAAACCCAACAGTGTGTGCCTCTATATGGAACGATTTGGTCGGTTTACGGTACTGCAATATCCAATAAAGCTAATAAGGCGTTAAATGCGAGTGCCGTATCGTCAGACTGTCAGTAGCCGCTGGCCCGTCAGCCGGTCCAATATTTCCCGGCGCTGCGGCGGAGGGAGCTGTAGGGTGTGAGCCCCCGGAGCGGCCGCCGCGCCGTCCGGAACAGACAGACCGCGTCAATGAGCCAGTAATTAGCCCAGCTGAGGGCGGCCGGCTGGCACTGACAGACGGGAGTGTGCTCACGGCGCTCCCGGCCCCACCCGCAGCCGGGGAACGGGGCTGGGTATTGGGTACACGGACACGGCGCTTCTGACCATGGGCTGAACATTAGCCAGCACCTGTTTCCACGGGACTGGATATAAGCCCAGAGATGGAGTCCTTACGGTACATTTAACCCTCGCCGGCACAGGGGGGGGGGGGGGGGGGTTGATGCAACCCCCCCTAAGGTTTTTCGCGAATAACTCGCGTAAAAAGCGGCCGATCGCGACGAAACTTTCAGTACCCTCGCATTGATCAATTTTACACCTACCCTGAAAATTTCATGACCCTGACCCCAATGACCTTTGACTTGTGACCTCTTTTCTATGACCATGTTTGGCCGAAATCGCGGTTCGGCGCATGTCGGCTCGCATTAGCCGCGCGTTTGCAAGCTTTTCGTGGTTTCAAACGTTCAAACATGTGATTTGATGTTGCTCCCATGCATTAGGGTGGGTGTCAAGGTCACCTGAAGGTCAGGTCAGGTCATTGACCTTTGGTGACCTCGGGTGACCTCGGTTCACTTTTTCGAGTTGTACATGTTTCTAGGCTAGTTTTTGGAGCTGAATTCGAATTTAGCAACCATTTGAACATTTACGAAGTGGTTTTGGTGCCTTCGTAACATGTTACGAAGCTGTCCGAGGCGGTTGACACGTATTACGAATACCCGTCACAGCCCCTACCGGTTGACCTGACCTGACCTGACCCGACCTGGTCTAAATGCTTAAAGACATCATCTATGATCAAAACTAACACGATATTCGTGATCAGCACCCCGGAAAACCACATAGCAGCCACACTTTACGACTTTCTAACAGGTCCCGATTTTCCCGGTTTTCGGGTCATTGACCTGACCTGGAAGGTCACCCGATGACCTAGGACCTTAAAATTGGGTATCATCGGCTTCGTCTCGTGACGGGCAACACGCTCGTTTTTTTTTCCGCGAAGCTCTAGCTCGATCAGGGGCCAAACGCGAGGGGGGGGGGGTCGTAAACCCCCCCCCCTTGTGCCGTCGAAGGACTCAAAATGGCCTGTGCCGGCGAGGGTTAAACTGATGCAAGGCAGCCGTCTTTTCTACTTCTTGTTAATATTTTCATATAGTTTCAATCTCAGCAAGCATGTGTCTGTCGATCGCACCGTACTGCCTCCCTTTACAATACGAGCTGCAGCTACAACAATATGCTGATTGTTATAGGTACTGATCCTGAACATGGGCTGGGCTGGGCGAATGTCCGTTGGTTATGTATTCAGTCAGTTGAGCTACTCGTGTTGCGGGCCATTATCTTCTTCGGTCGTTTTCTCAGCTTCCTTTAAGTACTATGCATAGGGAATTTTGTTACGTCCGTTTATTATTCTTTCATTTTTGCATGCCATGCAAGTAAACATCCAATAACTGCACGAGGATTGAATGCCGGAGGTGTGGACAAATATGTGCCGTCCACTAAAATCAAATACCGGCGTCTGCCGTCTCCCGGGAGACGCTCCCAGCTGGGGCTGCTATTGACCGCGCACTGCGGCAGCAGCTCGGTGCCGAGAGGCCGCTCATTATCCGCCCGTGTTGACTGGCGCACCTTCTCAGCACTCCTCAGTCAAACGCAATAACGCGCCGCGCTCGGCTCCACTGCATGCCGCCGCGTCCGGGCGCGCACTCATATGGGCCGCCACGCGCCGATAATACCCCAATACTGCAGAAGAATGGCTTCATCTCGGCGTGCCAATAGCGGCGCAGTGCGGCGTGAGGCGGCGCTGTTTGGCCTGAGGCGGCGCGGCGCGGCCGGCGCCAGTTGTGCTTCAGGTCAGACGGCGAGCGGAGCTGCGGTCGGCCGGCCCGTCCGTCCTCCGCGCTACTCTGAGCCCCGCCCGCCGACTGCCGGGCCGCCAAACAGGCTCACCCGCCGGCCGAGGACAGCTCACGGGGCTTGTGTGGTCTCTGCCGCCGACCGACCGCCGGACTGCACTCCCAGAGGTCGCCCTGCCCAGTCCTACAGGCTGACACCAGCTCGAGCGCCGAGAGATCGCCGTATCATTGGTCAGCGCGGGCATCGCCGACACTCAGGTACGGACAGACCGAGAAACAACCGGTGTATGAGTGTCGGCAGACCGGGAGACGATAGCAGCGTCCGGCCCCGTGGACGTGGACCGTGAGTGAGTGTATGGGCGAGAGGGATGGGGGGGGGGGGGTTAGTGGGAGGGCATCGGCTCCGTGCCACTTGTGCCGTTAGAACAGTTGCCGCTCACAGGGATGGTAACTAATGGGCCGACAGGCAGCTGACACAGATCGGTGAGGCTGTCAGGGGATGTAGACCAGACTGCTGGAGCCTGGAATGTGGACCAGACTAGCGAAATATCGCCGGGTGTGAGTGTAGACCCATGCACCGCTACTCACAGTTCTGTCGATAGCACGGATAATGGGAAAACTCGATGCTCATAATGGATGCGGGAAAACACTAATGCGGAAACGGTGTTTTCGGGACGGTGGATCGTGAGGGGCACACCGCACATGACAGCATGGCGACTGACAAGCCTCATAAGCAATGCTGCCTTTGAAACAGATATTTTATAGTCACTTCCATGCGTCCTCCGACTGCCGACGCTTGGATAACGTCGTGCACATAAACCTAGTAGCGGTATAAATAAACAAAGGCAAGGGCGACAGACAGTTACAGGACGAAACTGAAACAGCTGCCCGCTGCCTGCTTCGTACCAAGTCGTATCGCTCGCACCATAACGTCTAACTTTAAAATATCAGAGCATCGCGTCGGAAATTACATAAAACCGCTCAGTGAAATGTTGCCTGACCCCGCCTCGACATATGTATGCCCGATTTACGCCCACGTAAAATCAGGCAGTCCAAATCAGTTCGTGATTCGTCTGAGTAATTGAACCCTCGAGGTATTCGAGTAGATGAACGACTTAATCTGCTCGCCACTTTCAATGAAATGATGGGCTCTTAATTTAATTGACCTCCAGAGATAATTAAGTTAATTGAGGTCATGAGTGTTCCAATAAAGCTCGAGCGTCTAAAGAGTATTAGGGAACTGAACAGGACTCGTCACTCGTAACATCGTTAACATTCATTGCTACATAAGTTACACGTTTATGCTACCAGACGGACTGTAACTGATAATTGACAGGGGCAGTTTATAAGAATCCGGTTCAAGGGAAATTTCTAACTATAGATAGGATGACTTTAAAAGAAGCCCGGATTATACGCGATGAAATGATCACCTCCTACATTGAACAACTTTTAAACGAATTTCGGATGCAAAAGAGATGCACAATGTCCTTTCTGTGATAAATAATTGGGTCTCGGAAGCTGCTCTGAGGAGATATAGTGACACAGTAATAGCCGAGCTGTCTTAGGCCGGACATGGTACTAATGAGGCGGGGATTTATTTCTGCACCGCTCCCTCGTGTCCTGTCCTGCCGCGCAGTACCCACGGACTGTGCGCGGGGCTGCAGCCGGCGGCGAGCGTAGGACGGGAGCTGTCCGCCCCACACACACCTGAGTCGATCGATACCGAACGGCCCACTCCGCAGTGCCTACCACTCAGAGCTGCACCGGTGTTCACAGTTTCACCGGTGTGCCTGACAGGTGAACGACAGGGAAGTGGAGACACTCCCGCCACAAAGCATTACCAGGACCATACTCCGACGTCAATAACTTTAAAAGGTCCAACCCGCCAAACAACTCTTTGACGAGGCTGTCACTCTTTAGGTGTGACGTGGGTTTAGAAAGTTTTTTTTTTAACTAGTTTGTAAATAAAATAGGGTTACCAACCCCGGCGACTTAAAAGACCGCTTGAACTGTCAAACGTCCAGCTAAACGGTCAGAATATCAGTTAAAACAGGCTACAGTTGTAACCCGGATCATGGCATCCCGACGGATCTTATGACGAGCTTTTGTTTTCGCAGATGTAACAGTCTTTACAGTCGACACAAATGGCGGCTTACCGGCTGATAACTGTCCTGAAACGCCGGTTATACGTAATGGAGCTGTATGTCCTAGCTCCACAGAAAGTGCTGCGAGTAACAGAGAAACGTTCACCGATAGGGATGTAATTGAACAATTACTCAGAAAATGTGAGTAGCTTCTTATCATCAACAAAACATAAAAAGCATAATATATGTATACACAAATGGAGCTAATGACAATGTTGTTAGGTCAACATGGCGGTCGCCAAAGCAAGCGTTCGCCGCACCATACGAACAGCGTGGACCATATACGAACATGATCGCTTACATGCCCCTTTGTGCAGCTGTATGTACATACGCACACTGTACGAGTATACACAACTGATCGTCATAGAAACGACCGCGTGCGAAGGTCCTCGCTTGGCGGGTCGGAAGGTCATTGTCCCCTCACACGACAATCGGAGGTGAGAGCGGTCAGGGGGTCGAAACGTTAATAATAGCGAAGAGTACTGCCACGGAGGGCTGCCAAAGTGAGGGCACCTCTCACGACAATTATCATCCAATATTGATGAGCTCGTCACGGTCCCAGTGCCGTGCCGTTCCCAGCACATGTTCGGCGCAATGTTCAGTCTGCTCAGTGTGATCACACAGCTCTGCTTCGTCCGTCCATCCCACAGGCCGCGGAGATGGCTGACCCGGACAGGGAGCCGGAGCCGGAGCCGGAGCCGGAGGAGCGGCTCCCGTTCCCCTGGGACCCCGTGCCGCTGACTGGGGAGCGGCTCGCCAGGATGGCCGCCGCCTTCCCCGACTACCGAGAGGAGGGACTCGCCGGCTTCGGACCCTCCGGCTACGTGGCCATGCCCGACTCGAAGCCCTTCTTCGAGGAATACTACAACACGTCCGTGCACCCTGGCGACATCTGGGTGGTGACGCTGCCAAAGTGCGGTGAGTCGGCCGGCCGCCAGCGGCGCACCGGGCGCGGGCGATCCCAGAGGCCCGCTCAGTGGCCTCAGCAGTCGGTCCATAGTGCTGTCGCTGTCGAGGTCATGTAAATGAGACATGTAAATTGCCAGCAGAGTCCAATGATTCCCTAAAGAATCTTTAGAGTAACCGTTTACGTCTGGCTAAGCAGCGAGTGTCACGGACGTCATTGCCTTTCCATTGTCAGGCACCACCTGGACCCAGGAGCTGGTCTGGCTGCTGCAGAACGACTGCGACTTCGAGGGCGCCAAGTCCATGCTGATGCCGGACCGCTACCACTTCCTGGAGATAACCGGCGTGACGGCGCGCTCCGTCCGCGAAAAGATCAGGGACGGCGAGGACCCGCTCTCGCGGCGCATCTTCTTCGACCCGATCGAGTCCCGGCCGCGGCCGTGGTTCGTCAAAACCCATCTGCCGCTGCACATGTGCCCGCCCAAACTCCTAGACACCGCCAAGGTATCTGCTCAGTTAGAATGACAAACACTGCAGCATAAGAGGTCCAAAGGATGTTCGTGGAAATAGCTGAATAGCCCACGTCATTCTGGGGTATAACGGGTTGAAGCATAGCTGTGAATGTACCGCAATTAATTGTTTGGCTGTTCAATGCAAGGAAGGCTTTCGAGTTTCACAATCCAATTCCAGACACTCCTTTGCACCGCTAATGCAAGGATATTCCTGCGAATTCAGTTCGCCCAATGAAAAATAAATGCGCTGGTTCGCTCAATACGCTTACATAAAAAGAGCTCCCCTTCGTAAAGGGCTGACGCCGCGTTTTCTGTGTCTGCAGGTGGTGTACATTGTCCGCAACCCGAAGGACGTCTGCATCTCATACTACCACCACTTGCACCTGTACAACGAGGCGGCCGCCGACCTCACCCTGGAGACGTTCGTCGACCTCTTCATCGACGGACTGGTCACCCAGCTGCCCTTCTTCCCGCACGTGCTGGAGGCCTGGCGGCAGCGCCACCACCCCAACATGCTGTTCCTCTTCTTCGAGGACCTCAAGAAGGACCTGCGAGGCAACATCGCCAGGGTGGCAGAGTTCCTTGGCAAGACGCCGACCGACGAGCAGCTGGACAAGCTGGCCGAGCACCTGCACTTCAGCAACCTCAAGAACAACCCGTGGGTGAACTGGGAGTGGATCTCCAAGTCGGCCTGGTCCACCGGAGACCCCAACAAGAAGTTCATGCGCAAGGGCAAGACGGGTGACTGGAAGAACCACTTCACGCCCGAGATGGACCGCAAGATGACCGGGTGGATGGAGCGCGAGCTGGAGGGCACCGGGCTCTCGTTCGTGCTCGACATACCCGAGGAGCAGCAGTAGCTCGGAGGGGGACGCCGTGGCTAGGGCCGCAGGGATAGTTACTGCGCTGGAGAGGGAGGGGGAGCCGGGAGGCCGTGTGGTGAGGCCCGGTAAGTCGCTGTCGGTCCGCTGCCGTTTACACCGATATTGCTGTCCTTCTTCTGTCAATCCAGTGCGACCCTGGGCCCTGTAGTACTGTGTTGCGCCCTTGTTCTACCTTGTCCTCAGTATATGTTCAGCACTACCCTGGCTTGGTGTCGTGTATTGTCCTTTATACGGGCCTCTAGCGGATGCTTTTATCGACTATGCCGCCGTGTTTTATGGCAATTGAATGGCGAATGATTGAAGGCGCGTCTCCCAAAACTGTGTGTGCTTGGATATTATTTGCACGTCATCTTTTACCAGGAACGAATAATGAGCATTATTGCTTCTTGGTTTGATCATTGTAAGCCTATTTCTTGCGCCAAATAGGGTTTACACTATGGATAACTTGGCCGATTTGTGGGAAATGTGTCAACAGTGGTCGCATCATTCCAAATAGACGATAGAATTAATGCATACAATTAGTGTTTGAACACGGCTATGATCCGCGGTCCATTGCTCCACTCTCGCCCGGTGGTTAGATCCGATGCGTCTGAAAATCGGCGCCGTACGACGGTTAGGAAAATAAACTTAACTAACCAGGCATGAACACGAGCAACCACCAAACTAAGCCAATGCGTCTACGTAAGCAAACATTAAGCTCTGGACTAGAGCGGCCGAGTGGCCGGTCAATAACTTACAGAACTCACTCGTTTCATCCGTTCAAACTCCTCCACCTCAGCCTGGGGAAGTTTGAAGTTGAAGCCGTCGAAGTACGGGTGCTGGAGCAACTGTTGGCACGTCAGGCGCTTCGCCGGGTCCTTCTCCAAACATTTCTGTGAAAAAAGAAACAAGGGACGTTACACTCGCACTTTGAGCATCGTACGGCAACGGCATTAGCTAAGAGCTGAATGCATTAAATATTATGGATAGTTCCATAATAAACATTTTCAGTGTCCAGCATAAGCTTCGGGCTCATCAGTGTCTTTCGAACCCTTTGCAAGTTTTTAACTTTTCGCTGCATCCTAAAGCCCTTCCCTGGTCACCACACACACCGTGTGTACAGCCTCAGGCGGACCGGCGAACACTGCCGGGCCGAGCTGCTAACCGTTCACGGCCCGCCTGCGGTACCCCTGTATCGACGGTCAGCCGGGTCCGGTCCGTGGTGACGCTCACACAGGTCTGAGCCGGCGCCCCGCGGTCAATACTGCGGCCACCGCCGTCTCCAGGCACAGCTGGGCGCGCCACACACAGGTGCGCCCAGCTGCGCCCGGCGGATCGGACCACTGAGCAGCGAGCGGCCCACCAACCAGGCTCCGCAGGCGCAGACACAGAGCTGGGTGGCCACTGGCCCTTTCAACCAACCTATAAATCTATAATGTGCTTCTATACTCCATTCGTAAGTTGAAACGCAAACGCTTAGCGTAGCGTTGAGCCGGCTTCCCCGTGCTGTGCGGGTTAGTCTAACTGCCCGTGCAGTGCAGGTTAGTCTAACTTCCCGTGCTCTGCGGGTTAGTCTAACTTCCCTTGCTCTGCGGGTTAGGCTATCTTCCAGTGCTGTGCAGGTTAGTCTAACTTCCCTTGCTCTGCGGGTAAGTCTAACTTCCCTTGCTCTGCAGGTTAGTCTAACTCCCCGTGCTCTGCGGGTAAGTATAACTTCCCTTGCTCTGCGGGTAAGTCTAACTTCCCAAGTGCGGGTTAGTCTAACTCCCCGTGCAGTGCGGGTTAGTCTAACTCCCCGTGCAGTGCGGGTTAGTCTAACTTCCCGTGCTCTGCGGGTAAGTCTAACTTCCCAAGTGCGGGTTAGTCTAACTTCCCAAGTGCGGGTTAGTCTAACTTCCCGTGCAGTGCGGGTTAGTCTAACTTTCCGTGCTGTGCGGGTTAGTCTAACTTCCCATATCGGACGGCTGTCGGCCTGAATATTTTATCAAACAGAAGGTCATCTTTTCAAGGAAGGATAGTCTTATATGTCGCACCAGCTCCCCAGCAATATGTTGATTGCAGAAGCTCCACACAGCCCCAGCCCGTGACACGCCATTTCGGGAGCCTATTCAAATGAGCTCATTACCGCTGTCACCGTGTTGGAAGACCGGTCACGAAAGGCCAATCGAGCGACCTTGGCACCAGCTCCGGCCGTCCCCAGCGGCTCGGCTGCGTGAGGCCAGCTCTTAGAAAAACTCGGACACTCGGACAATTAGGCGAGAGTGTCCTGTCGCAGGGACTCGCAGGGTGGCCGGTGAGTCGCCGCGACCTTGGCAGCACCGACAATCGATGTCCATCCAACAGAACTCCCCAGGCGCCGCACGAATCGCTAACTGACGACGTGACGTCATTGGTAACAGACTTGTGACGTCAGCAGTGTCGAGCAGGCAGTGGCTGCTCGGTGTAAAAGGCTACGGGGTTGTGAAGCCAGCTAAAAGACTGGAAACTGACTTTTCAATGCCTATGATGAAACATATTTATGTGTCGACTGTAAAAGAAACAAACAAACCAAGCTGTTCCCAGCAAAGCTAAGGCCATGTTTTTTTTTCAGCATACAACGCATAATGCGTCCTTTTTTAGTGAATATATGGAAAGACTGTCGGCATTTGTCACTTTAACCCAGACAGTTTGCCGATACCGGCCCGGGTAAGACATCATTTACGTCCCGCCGCTGCGGTCAGCGCACGTCTGGTGAATGGGGCGGACACGCAGCGGCCGCACTGTCTCATTGTGTGAGCTGATGCCGCCTCAGTGTGCAGCCGTGTGTACCTTCGTGCGTCATCGTAACGCCATAACGGCCGCCGGTGTCGAGACATTGATCTGAGCGCGGCGCCGCGAGCGGGCCAACGCCAATCCATGAGGTCCGAATGGGCGGCCGTGGGGCGATATGTACTGTGCAATAGCGAACACTGCAGGTAACCATATAACGGTCTGTAGGCAGGCAGTCCTTTTTGCACTTCCTATTGGACGTTGGACGGGCATGGTTGATGTCTAGATTTTAGAAGTCTGACTACCAATGCCCCAAACGCGACTGCTAACCGTATTTCTAGTGGCATATTACACGCCGGTAAATGTGTCAATAGACGGTATTTGTAGACTGTTTAAACTTGTATGCGCTAATATCATTCTTTTCGGTAATATGTATAGGGAAACATAGTTTTTCACCCTGGATCCACCGGACGAGTGCCACCACAGCCTGGTACTGCGCCGACTCTGACCTTGAGGAAGTCCATGCCGGTGTTGTTGAGCGACTTTCCCATCTTCTGCTCGAGACTCTGCTGCTCCTGAGGCTCCGGCAGCACGACTCCCGTGAAAAACTCGTTCGACTTGAACACCTGCATGTGCCGCGAGATCAGGTCACCTGAAAAGGGCCGGACGAGAGTCATAGTCAGGTCTCAAACCAATAGTATATTCGCGTGAACATCACGCGACTGGGCCAAAGTTACAACTTACCAAGCGTTTTCCGGATCAGGTAGAGCTGGTCGACGTCCGACTTTCCCGGCCAGAGAGCGTCTCCTTTGACGAGCTCGGCGAACACGCAGCCCACGGCCCACACGTCCACGGGCGGCCCGTACTGAGTGTCGCCGACCAGCAGCTCGGGCGCCCGGTACCAGCGCGTGGCCACATAGTCCGTGTACGGCTCACCGGGACCTGAGCCAGAGGGACACAGAGGGTCACACAGGGAACAGTTCGGGCGCCCGGTACCAGCGCGTGGCCACATAGTCCGTGTACGGCTCACCGGGACCTGAGCGAGGGACACAGAGGGTCACACAGGGAACAGTTCGGGCGCCCGGTACCAGCGCGTGGCCACATATAGTCCGTGTACGGCTCACCGGGACCTGAGCGAGGGACACAGAGGGTCACACAGGGAACAACTCGGGCGCCCGGTACCAGCGCGTGGCCACGTAGTCCGTGTACGGCTCACCGGAACCTGAGAGACAGAGGGGCAGAGAGGGGTCAGAGAGGGACAGGGACAGAGAGGGTAACAGACGGACAATGAGGGGCAGAGAGGGACACAGAGGGACAGAGAGGGTCAAAGAGGGACATAATCCGTGTACGTTTCCCCGAACTTCCCGGCAAGAGAAAACAGCGCAAATGCTGTGCTCACAGCTCAATGCAGTTAGTTAGGTGGCTTTTAACCTTCTCCCCAGTGGGGGGGGGGCATATGTTACCACCCTGTCGCGTTTTTTGCGTGTGAAGTGTGAATAAAAAACCACGGCGCGTAGCGCCGCGCCACTCGGAGTAGCTTTTTGCACATCAATTTTAGACAACGAGTGAAATTTTTGACCCCAGGCAGTGCTGGAAATGAGGCCGCTTTCTGGTCCCAGCGTTTTATTCTCCGGGCGGGTTAATCCCGCCCAGCGTTTAGCCTTTGGGGACCCACTCAGTCTCGTGGCTGTTTTCGCCGCTCGCCGCAGTCGAGATGCAAAGTTAATAGTCACACGAAGCTTATTTAGGGCCAGCCAAACCAGCCTAGCCTGGAGTTACTGTTAAATGTATGCATATAGCTGAAAGAAAAAAGGGTTTGTAGAATCAATTTATTTCGAAGTCGTATATTCAGAGGCCCCAAATAAACTTCGTGTGACTATCAACTTTGTATCTCGAATGGGCCGAGCGGCAAAAACAACCGCGACTCTGAGAGGGTCCCGAAAGGCTAAGCGCTAGACGGGGCTAACCCACCCGGAGAATAAAACGCCGGGACCAGAAAGCGGCCTCATTTCCAGCACTGACCCCAGGTCATGTCAGGTCAGGTTACCAGGTCAAGATAACTGACCAAGCCTAAAAAAGTCTGCAATCATGTCCAGCCTGCAGTGTTTGTCAGAAAGGCTTTAAACTTGGTGGATTGCATGATGTTAGGGGCGCCTACAATTTGTATATCTCGGATTTTTTATATCCGTGACCTAGGGTCAGGTCAGTGGCATGACCTTTCCATTATAAGTCAACGGAGACAAACGAAAATGCCTCTAGATCCGTGTGTACGCATAGGAACAGTCCAAATATTTCAGAATCACAATGATTTGGACCATCCGTGACGACCAAGGTGTCTTTTTTGTTGAAAACCTCTAGAAAGGTCATCCGAGGTCAATTGAGGCTACAAACAGATTTTTGCCAATAACTCTCGATTGGAAAGAGATAGAACGCTGGGGTTGGCCTCATTGTGTTTGCCTTGCCGAGACGCATCGACTGATATGCAACATGATCTTTTCCGGTCAGGTCATGACCTTGACCTGAGGTCAAAATTTGAAGTTGACCTTTCAAGGTCAAATTATAGCTCATTCGACGCGTCTCGGTGAGAGGAACACGATTCTGGCAGTAGAAATGTCGTGGCTTTTTCAGTCAAAAGTTATTGTCGAAAAACACTTTTCGTAAAAACAGCTATTTTTGGAGTTTTTGTCCTCTGGAGGCTATACCGTTGACCTGAGGTCATTTTTGATGATGACCTGATCAAAAGAAGAGTTCAAGAGCTATCGATTGCTTTTCCAATCGTTTTTCTAGCTATCACAATTCCTGAGATAATGGCATGTTTTCTGCAAAATATAATGACAATTCGCAAATTTGACCTTTGATGACCTCTGGTGACCCCAATATTGCTCTAAGATGAAAAATGACTAATACTTTCAAACGTACGCATCGAGAGCTATCGACTGCTTTTTACCGCGTCTTTCTAGCCCTCTTAGTTTTTGAGTTAGGGGTGGGTGGTAGCATATGCCCCCCCCCCCCACTAGGGCGAAGTTGGCTGAGACCGCCACTGGGGCGCGGGTTAAATAATCTAAAAAAAGTTGCTGAAAGTCACGAGGCATCAAAAATGTTTGTCAGCAGAAGTCTAGCATAATTGACCACCGCACTACCGGAAATGAAAGCATTCAAAGTGCATTTATATATATGGAATATTTAGCGGGCTGCGACGTATATCTCTTCATCCCGTAGCATCATAACATTCCAGCCATCTGCGGCACCGTGCCAGATGAAAGAAAAAACCACTGTTGTCACGGAAACGAGCAGATACAAATTACGAGTATATGCAGTCGCCGTGAGACGGAACTGCTAAGATGTCATTATAATATATGAGCAGCTGAGATATGAGAATGAGTCGGTAGATTGTGTAGACGTAATATTTGTAGCGACAGATGAACTCAATAGTCAATGCATGCTGATATTACAATTCCTTCTGCATACCGCACTCACCCACTCCTACGGGCACTCACTCATGTTCCTGGCGAAGCCGAAGTCGCACAGTTTGAGGACCTGGTTTTTGGTGAGCAGCAGGTTCTCGGGTTTGACGTCCCTGTGGATGCAGTTATTGGCGTGGCAGTAGCTGATGGCCTGCAGCATCTGCCACGTGATCCGCTTCGTCAGCTCCTCCGGCACGCTGAACGGGGGTGGGGGGAGGGGGTAGTCAGTATACGGGTCAACACGCTTAGGGGTATACAGGACGGGGAGTCAGTTAACGAGACATGAGACACTGCTGGGCATTGGTCAAACAAAAGCTCGATAGCTGTGCTGTCGTGTGACAGGTGTGCCACGTGAGTTGGTGCATGTCTCGTGCAGCCGGATACGTCGGATATAGGCACTGAGCGGCTCGATGTTACGGAGCAAACAGGATGAGCGACATCGCGGCCCGGAACCCACGAGAGGCTGCGACACGTGAGCGGGACGGCGGGGCACACAGAGGGGATAAAAACGGGGCCAAAGACCGGAGGGATAGACAGGGGAAGGGGAGGGGAGGGAGAGAGGAGGAGAGAGGATGGGTGAATGAACGTGACTGATAGCAAAAAATTCCATGTATGGGTGACGCCGTTTCCAAAATAATGAAACGAGAAGTTTTCAGACTCCTAAATTCGAGGAGCTCCACCGCCATCCTACGACAAAACAAAGTCAAAACTGGCTGCCACCCGTCCTGTAACAGGCTGTTCGGCGGTGCTAAAATGCGACACCCGGTGTTCCTATGGGCCTCGTTACCCAGTATCGTCTATAGACCCGGAAATAGTCGTCCGCCCATGGCGTCAGCAGCGTCACACACGGCGGCGTGCATTGGCGAAAAACGAGGTCACGGGGCGGGTCACGCCATGTCGGCGCCTCAGGGCACAATGCCGGCCCGTGCGACACACACAGATAACGAGCGACCCGGCCCAACCTGACGAGCTCCCAGTACCGGCAGACGACTGCCACTCGACGTGTGCTTATGTGTGTGCTGTGTACATATATTCCAGACAATCAGCCTACAGACGGCAGTCACTCGGTGTTTGACTGTGTGTGTGCTGTGCAAACATTGCATTCAGCCGAGAGACGCACGGTTCATGAAGAAATGCACATTTGACGTATATCCTGATCGATAAAACGCAGCCTACTCATTACTTGGATGCCAAGCAGGTTATAAAGGTCCAAGCTAAAAAGGTGTAAGCGCCACGGCGTATAGCGAGCTCAGAAAAACTTCTAAAGGCGCCGCCTTTTACATGGACCAAAATTTTATAACAGGACAGCTTTAACCACTCGGGGCACTGGTACTGTTTAGGTAGATATTCCTCTATTGCAGCCCGTACAGTGACCGCTGAGTGCAATAGCTTGCACCCAGCTGTTTAACTATGCATAAGCACAAGCATAATGAACTTCTAAACCACAAGGTGATTTATAACTAGGTCAGTCCTTACCGATCCAATCCCTTACCGACCCAAAAGCGTACAATTCAAATGGATAATCCACCGGATACTCGTTATGCTATAGATGGTACAATATTTATGCGCTGCAATGCTTCAGACGATTCAGCTCGGTTGAAATTTGCGATATGCCAAAGCTGAGCGACCGCACCGTCAGTGTTTCACTTACCCTTTGGGGTGCTTTTCCAATTCGCTAAGTACAGTGTGATCACAAAATTCAAATACTAGGTGCAGCTTCTTTTTCCGTCGAAATACTTCTATTAAATTCACCAGGTTTGGATGTTTTAATTGCTGAAACAAAGCGAGGTAGTTGAGGGTCAGGGTCAGATATTTACAGAAATGAAGCCATTCTTACTATACGTTATAGCGATGTTACATAACAAACGATAATTCATAACTGAGTCTCAGTCAGATGCGTCATAGGAATTCATTATGCGTCCTTTCAATTACGTACTTTGAGCATCCGGATTTCTCTGAGGGCGATCTTTCTGATGAGCGGGTCCTCCTCCGATTCCATGAATTTCTTGATGGCGACCAGCTGGCCTGTCTCCGTGTTTCGGCACTTGTAGACGGCGCCGTACGAGCCCTCGCCGATTTTGCCGAGCTTCTCATATTTCTCCATGAAGTGGGATGAGACTCGCGGACGCCTGCAGAGGGAGAGAAAGAAATCGGTCAGCTGTTATGGACAGCTATATGCTTGCACCCAGAGCTCGATGTCGGATGACGCAACAGCATATACTAGGGTTACCCGCGTGCTCCGCAACGCGAAGGGGGGATTTTTTGACCCGTGGGTATTGGGTTGGTCTGTGTCGATTTGGTTGGTAGATATCCATTTCGTTCGATTGCTTTTTGACGGCCAAGCATTTTGTAAGAAAACAAAAAGATACATCGCATCGAGGTGCCCGTGTCGTATTATCATGCGTTCTACTTTAGAATGATTCGAAAACTGGCGTGAAGTCTTTTGAGGGCCATCGATGAATTTCGCTAAAAATGACAATGTAATGGTTTGGAACATTTACATTTTTAAGGATACTGTTGCTAATCATGCAAAAATGAAGAGTGAATATTGGACAGAATTGAATGCTCTATCCAATGGTACCATATTCAATTGCCAAAGGTATCAGGTTATGCAGCAAACCCCGTGTGATTAATAAAGTGGCACAAAATTGACAAACACCATTTTCTCCTGTGATTTGCACCACCTTGATTTGGATCAATCAGCTTTTCACAATTTTTATATGAGAGGCGGTACCTTTCTCTTGCAAATAGGCGTTGATTCAACTCGCTCCATTTAACGGTCACCTAAAAATAAAATTAATTCCAAAATTTCTCAAAAACCGCAATTTTTCAAATAAAAGTGCCCTCTCCGGTGCACGTGGCGCGTGCTATCCTCTGCATTGCACACCATTCAATAGCCCGTTCAATTCTGTACACGATGCTGTTTTCCCCGTGCCGGTCGGACCCCTGGTCACCAAGATATTGCTTGGGAACTGGACCCGTGTCGGCCAAAATTAGCCGTTTTCGCCCGATTTCGCACGCCGATTTATACATGTAAAGTCTATGACGCGAATTTGCACTTTTTGAGCACGCGCCACGCGCTCCCTATCAATCCGATCGAGCTGAGACCCCTCAAAGGCACGTCGCGCATCCTTGATCTATAAGCTGTGCAAATTTCATCGGGCTAGGTGCAACGGTCTGGCCTGTAGTCCACGCAAAGCACGACCAAGTCGGGACCTCGGTAACGGACAGACGCACCCTCCTCAAATAGTAATATAGATTGCCGAAACACCTGACATCAAAATCTGCTTATCGGGCACTTCGCGCCATCGCACTAATCTTAGGTATACCGTCAGAATGTCCGACAGTGCAACAGTCGATCGGTTTACATGATTGCCACCATAGCATATGTGCTTACAATGACTATCGAAAGAGATAGAGGAAATAGATTAGCTCACACAGCAGGCGACCTAGCTATTCGTCTCGTGTTCATCGAACTCAACTGTAACTCGTTTAGTTGTTTGTTTTATTAGGTTACGATATCTCGGTCTATTCAAACTATCTCAGGACCGAGTATAAGAGAATAAAAGGGAGATGTGAAAGAGATTGAGACTGAGTCTGAGTCTGCAGCGTTCGAGCCTTCCCTTTGGAACAGGAGCGTCCCTGTGGGACAGGTGGGACAACGACTAACTGTCAGTCACGAGCAGGGAAATGTGTCTAAGAGTGCAGTGCCTTGGCTAAAAGAAGAGGATAAAAAGAATTGACCGTATGAGAATCGTATAGGAGCTGGAGCCTTTTGTTCAGTCTTTTGTCTCCTCCAGCGTTGACGTAATTTGAAATAGCAATAGCCTCGTCCTGGAAACAGCCAAATGGGGCCTTGGCCACTTTGTGAAAACTATCAGCTCATCCTTGATAGTTTGACAAAGAGCCACTCGGGCCGCGAGGCTTTCAGCGCGGTTCTGGTCGATGGGGCCGGTCGCCGGCCGTTCCCACTGGCCGAAATGTCAAGGTCGCCGGCTGACCGGTCGGCGCGGAGCCTGGCTCGGCCGCCGCCCGCTCCAAGTTAGGCCGTTAGTGCACGACACACGGTGGCGGTTTGGTTAGAGCGGCGCCGACCGGGAGACGGTCCCAGAGACGGGGGTCGGACACGCACCGTGGCGTGACCTGGCCGTCACACACTGTGACAGAACAGCCCGGCCGTCACGGAACGCCACCGAACGTCGCACTACCACGGGGGCACAGCGGGGGCTGAGGCCGAGCTGGAGGGCTGGGAACGAAGGGTCTTATACACACGGGGCTGGCTCGGAAGGCTGATAAATAAAATACATTCACTGAAAATAGCGATAATCTGTCTCGAAAAAAATGTTGCCAAAAATTGTTGTTCCGTAACTTGGTCTATTTGATTCTGTCTTAGATTCTATTGATAAAAATTGTGCGTTTGAAAGATGGACAAGTTCACGGTTTTTAATCCTGTCCTCTGTTCCAGGAACAGTCGGGAAAAGAGCCATCATAATGCAACGTTACTCGTAAAGCGGAGTCTCACTCCAGTACGGCTATTTTGAGCTAGATATCTGGACCACTCAAGCGTGACATTCGCCACGGACTCACTGTACCACCAGTGCAGTGAGGGAGTGGATATTGATTATTGACAAAACAAGGGACAGGCGCCTATGTTGATGGAACAGTGAGTTGGCGAACATTGTGCGTGTGGAACGTTCCAAATCTGGCAGATAAATCATTCATCAGGTACGTACCTTGTCGACCATTTCAGACAGGCATTCCGCATTAACCAACCAAAATAAGTCATATGGCGTTGCTTTAATCTGCTTGGGTCCAATGTCGTCGCCTATCGATTAAAGACCCAACTCTATTTATACATGCAAGAGATAAACGTTAACACATGTCGAACAAGAAAAGCGATGACACATGCAAGGCACAGATAATACCTACACAGGACAAATATTAAAGACAGACATAATGCTTTGCCGCCTGAATGACCACTCATCCTCCCTCGATCTCCTTACCTCTGCCCAAAGAGCAAATTCATTCCCTCCCTGAACGACGGTAGCCGGGAGCTGAACTGGGTCTCCATCTACGGACGCATTTCAGGCGACGGGCGACACCTTCCTTCATCCGTCGTCAGCCTACAGGGCGGAGAGACGGTAACGGGCCTGTCGGCAGGGCGCAGGACGACGAGGACGGATTTACCGGCTGGCCACGGAGCAGCGGTGCTGGCCCATAGGGACTGCAGCGCCTTCCTCCAGTCGTCCACAGAGAGGGCGTCCACAGGGACAGCCACCAGTCGTCCACAGAGATGGTGTGCACAGGGACAGCTGACCGTCCACCGGCCGCCCACCGTCCGTCCACCGGTTATGGGCGGATGCTGCCGTGACCCGTCCACTGGCTGCTTACGAGTGCCACCTTGACCCGTCCTCTGCCTAAATGCTCCACTCTCTCAGTGATAGGATATTTGTCTACGCTCACAATCACACTCACGCCCTAGGCTATCACAGCAGCAATGCGGCAAAACGTCTTCCTAACCACTCGTTAGCTCCCTCGCGTTCTTTGATCAGCCTTCCACCCTGCTCCGTGCTACTGCTCACTCTTCTCAATCTCAGGGCATCTTCTCCTTGCGCACTGGCTCTGCCTTCCGTCGCCCTTAGTTCACTGCCGCTCCGTCACCCGTCTGATCACTCCTCCCTCCACCAGGCACGGTCCGTCTCTCGCCGTCTTCCGTCTTCTGTCTCTCGCCGTCTCCGTGCCGTCTCCGTCGGTCCGCCAGGCTGCTGCTGTGTTACACGCCCGCTCCTCCGTCACGGCCGCTCCGTCGGTACGTCGTCGGCGCTCCGTCGGTAAGTCTGTGCCCCGCCCGGCGGCCGCGGCACGACTGCCACCGACGACACCGCCCACCACCGGGCGCTGTTTACCACTATTTGGCGGCCGTTACTATAGGCGACTGACGCCGGCGACCGCCGTACCCGGAGGTGGCACCGGCAGCGGTACTGGTACTCATGGTGGTACTGGTACTCATGGTGGTACTGGTACTGGTACCCGGAGTTGGAACTGGCACATGCGGAGGTAGGTACTGGTGCCGGAAGTGGTAGGCACTGGTACTAGTGGAGGTACTGGTACTAGTACCGGCAATAGTACTGGTTCTAGTGAAGGTAGATACTGGTACTTACATACCCGGTGGTCGTATTGAAAAGAGTATTATTACAGGTATTGGTACGGGTATTGATATGGACATTGGCACGAGTATTGGTACGGGAATTGGTGCGGCTATTGGATTGGTGGGGGTACTGGGTGTTGGGTACCTACTGGTACGGGTATTGATACGGGAGTGTAGCTGTGTGGCTCAGTGTTCGTGTATGCGTGTCTGTTTGTGCGCGTGTGTGCTAGCTCGGAGGTGGCGTTATGTGCTTTTCCGTTGCCAGGCAACTGTCGCCCTTACGTCGCCGTCCCTGAGCCCGGACGGCCCGGCACTGCTGCCACCGGCAGCGGCAGAAGGGTCGATAATCGACGCAGAATATACGTACACACATAGGCACAGCCCAGGTAAAAACAGATGCAAGGAAGATGGATAAAGTTATTTTCTAACAAATGCTAGGACCTGTAGACGCGGCACACACCAGTCCGACTGCACTGTAAGTCAACTCAGAACACCAAGACCCCGCATTTGTAACACCACAAAGTAGGTAGGTAGGTAGGATTTGCATCACATAACAACAACAACAAAAAAAAATTGGCATGAGGCTACAACTTTATGGCTTCAGTGCAGTCATCGAAACGTTTAATAATTGATAATTTTTTTCTTTCATAGGAACGACATGCTCAATACCAAAAACATCGCTTTACGCACTTCCTGTCGTAGCTTTACTGACAAAATAAGTCAGGAAAAGGGAATTCAAATCAAACAAAATGAAGACCTATTTAATCTACAATTACATGTTTCAGTTACATCCCAGTATCTGACGAACAGCATACCTATAAATCTCCCAGTAGGCACATTTAGGTACAACAAACAAGCAATAGGTACACACTGAAGCATCTAACAGATCACAGGAACACTAGTTTTACAAAATATATGAACACAACTACCTAACGCATAACATTTTCCGAAGTAAACAAAATCATCAGTCCTCACTCGGATGTCTCAATCGGCCAGAGCTATAGCCATGGAACAGGCAGCCATTTTACAGCGGAACTCCCAGGCACGGCGTCATCGTGCACAATCGACCGCCAGTCGCCATGGTAACGGGCGTCTGTCGCGTGCCCGGTCGGCCCCACTCACCGTTCGGGCGCAGACAGACGGGGTGAGATCATCCCTCCCCGAGGACGGGCAGGGCCGCCACACACGCGGCGCTGCGCCGCGGCAACTGCAGCTGCAACCCCAGCCGGCCGCCGGCGCCGCCGGCTGCACCGACCAACACAGCCCCCGGCGGTGGGCGGTCAAGGTCACCGGCGTGTGCGATCAGAGTGCCCAGATTATGGGACAACTAAACACGGCGGTACGCGGTACTGTCATGTCAATGTCATGTCTCCACCGTTATGCAGCTCACCTTTTCAGCACGGAGCGCTGTTCGGTCCACAGCTTGAGGCGGTGCTCCCAGAAGGCCCGGTCCATAGTCGCCTCATTGTGACGTCATTGGAGCCCCGGATTCGGAGCTCCGGCGGGGGTCCGAGGCCGGTGCCTGCCGGGTACAAAACAGTGGATTTAGAGGGCCAGGGACTGAACGGCGGGCTGGCCCTGTCACTACAGCCATGAAAAGCTGACCCATTCATAATTTAAGCGCACGGACCGTGTAATCCGACCGTCATCAGGAAAGTAAGGCTATACATACGTGACACTGCAGACGTGATGGCCAGCTTCAAATTCGGGCCACTCCTGTAACTAGGTTTCTAAGTAGGCGTCGGTGTCAACTGTATATGCAATATGCAAGGATGACCTTGAGGTGCTTTGGAACACCGATAAATAATTTTGGAAAATATTTAAAGGAAATAGTTCACTTTTAACATGGGATTTTGAACTGGAATAGCAGTTTCGTAGCTTGAGCTGAGACTAGCACAAATCAGGAGCTTTTACGGCTCAACGATCACCCTAGACGAAGATATTCCATTTCTCGTTCCGAAAAGAGTGCCTTGCAGAGGAATGTGCGCCTTGCACAGGAATGCAGCCACGTCATCGTCAGCCAATCAGCATGCTGCTTACAGCTAATGCAGCATGCGTAGGTTTGAACTACGCAATATGATTGATCAACGCGTAATAAGCTTCCGCGTCAAACATTATTTTACATAGAATATAGTTCGTCCTATATTAAAAATATAGAAAATAATTGTTTTTACAAAAAGGTTTTATTTTATTTTCTGATCATTTTGAGCATAAATATCGTAAATCCATAGCAAAATACTAATTTCAGGAAAGTGAACTGTTTCCTTTAATGTGTGTCTAAAATTGTAACAAAACATAGACTAGGTAGGTACCTACTAGTGAGGAAAAAGGGAACTGCGTACCTTATAGTTCTATATATAATAATTGAGCTAGAACACTGCACTATGAAAAAGAACTAAAAAAAATAACCATAAAGTGCTCGAATCATTGATGATTTTTCCCTGAAGAGTGAAATCCAGAACATGGGTCATGGCTTTGCTGTTCTACGTTCGCTAAACTGCCCGTCCGATAAAGACTATTTCCCAAGGGGCGATACACAAAGTCCCGCCGCCTCGGCCCAGGCCCGACCGTTGCAGTGCCCGGGGTGGTCGCATTAGCTCGACCCAATGCCCCGTCCGGGCCCGGTCAGCCGGCCGGCCACTCGGTATATATCGTCCCGGCGATGGCCCCAAACACGGCGTTGCCCGGCCGCGGCGGCCGTCGCCGGGGGCTATGGATCGGGCCGCCGAATTGGGCGCCGTCCGCCGCCTCAATGGCCCGCCGGTGTTGACTCGGCTGACACGGACTGCGCCGCTGACGCCGTCCGAACTCGGACGGGACAGCGCGGGCAAACAGACACCGAACACACCGGTGGACAGAGGCTGGGGTGGGGACGGGGGACTGGGTCGTCGTCTGGGGTGGGGACTGGGGACTGGGGGCCTGGGGCGTCGTCTGGGGTGATGACTGGGGACTGGGTCGTCGTCTGGGGTGGGGACTGGGGCGGCGGCTCGGCGGATCATGCTGCCTCAGGGGCGGGGCGGGGAGCCTCGGCGAGCTGCCCTGCGGGCTGCGTGCGCCCTAATCCTGTCTGGGCCGGCTGGGATCGGCGTCAGCGACGGCACGTTTCATAACGGATGAGTCATACCGCCTCGAATGCTCCATATGTTCGGGAGCGGACTAGCCATACCGTCCCGGTAATATTACTGCAGTACCTATATATGACATTGACAGTACCTTCGCGAACACGAAGAACGGACGGGTTCAGTTGCAATTACATTCTAATGAGGCATAGTCGAAACGTGGCCAACCCGCTAAAAATGGCAAATGCGACAATAGAGGTTCGAGGTCGGGGGTATGATTAAAAGTAAGTATGCGATATGCATCCCCATCCCCCCTCCCAACAAGAAATACTTTTTAGATGCATACGTAGTTCACACTGCCGTTATTTTTGTGTGTGATTAACTTTACAGTTTACATTGCACCTTTATATGAACAAAAATGACAGGCCCAGACTCAGCAATTTGCAGAAGAGTTTATGGATGCTGGTCTATATAAATCATTCGCAATTGTGCGAGCCATTCACCTCCATCGACGTGTATGTAAGTACATACCTACCATAAACTGTCCTTAGCATCACTTTTATTTGCAGTACTAGAATGACTCATTATTGAGAACTTTAGCTGTAACAAGCAGCGCAAAACCTGTAGCAACAAATTAAAAAAAGTTAATCCCGTTTCACCCTGATCGCCGATGCTGATAGGTATAGCCATGAGTGTCGATTTCTGCCAAATCGTGGGTGCCTGCGAGCTCTCCCAGTTCCACCTCGGCTTGGCTTTTGAAGCCACATCAGATGGTGCGGGTCAAGGTCACTGTTCAGGGGTCGGCGGATTTGTGATGCTCCGCCACCGCAACGCAGCAGAAATCGACATCCTGATCCATACCAGTAGCCAACGCGTATTTGGCAACGTAACGGTGACCGACCACCGCCCGGTCCCCAGCTAACTTTAAGTTCCCCCACCGGCCGCTAGATGGCAGCAGCAGTATACGCCTGAAACTAGACTGTACCGCATTAAGCGTGGCGCTCTGAGTCCCCCCACAGTAGATGCGCAGTCGTTTCGTGCAGTAATCGCTAAACTTCAGATAAAACTGCCTATCTAACAATGAAAGATCTTACAGTCGCAATAATTGTGAGACTCAATTATGCCCACCAGCAGTGCTATCAATATCAAAGGTGAGCAAATTCATTCATTTCTTGAAAAGAGAAAATATGCGTGCATCAGTCGAACTCAATCTTATTCTTATTTGATTATTTTTTAAGTTTTTTTTTTTATAAAGCATGTTACTAAATAGTCACCTGTTCATACCTTTCTTACAAAAAGTAAATAGAAGGGTCCGAGAGCAAACTGTATTTAAAAAACCGTTTAAGATCGATCATCTGTTTGTTAGGTACTGTTATTACCAGCCTGAGCCAGAAATCGCAATTTTAGACGAGTTGCATCACATCATAACATTGAAATGATCAGTTACGAAGCAATATTTGTTCCCAAATGATTCATGAATGCACATAATAGGTATATTCCTTGGTAGTTTCATAGCTAGTTACGAGCGAGCGAGCGCAGCGAGCGAAGCGAGTCTTTTCAATATAACGGAAAAATCTCAGTATGAGCGGCCCGGCCCGGCCCGGCCCGGCCCGGCCCGGCCTGTAACGCTTTTGAGAGGCTTATATCTCAGCAACCGCTGGACCGATTGGCCTGCGGTCTTTTTTGCTGGGTAGCCCCATCCCTTTTACCCCGTAATTGACTACTT